ATATTGCAGATATATATATTTAAAGTAGAAAAGAACAAGTCAACCTTTACTATACGTGTACGTGTAGGTGTTCTCAATATACTATATACAAAATGTAGTTGATATAGGCACCTGTACTTTCATACATTTTATATAAAAAGGAGTTTCCATCTAATATTCCAGTTCCATTTGTATAAATCATATCTAAACAAATTATTTTAATAGATTTTTTAAACATTTTAAAAATTGTTTTTAATCTAATAAAATTGATTAGATTTTAATTAAAATCAGTTTAAAAATTCAGAATTTAAATAAGTTTAGACATAATAAGTTTAATCAGTTCAATAATTTATTACATGTGTTGTCTTAATCAAATTCCAGCTGCAAACTTGACCCCATTCTTGGCAATGCAATGCCACTCAGCATCTTAATGTAGCTCATCGAATAATGCACACATGCAAAACCGTCAAAAGCAATCAAATATGATTGCTCCAAATATCTTGGAGCAATATATAACTGCAGCGAAGATTTGCAAAAGAGTTAGTCCGCAATGGAGCGATTGTATAATCTGTTAAAGATTGAAGACACACCTTACTCGTTTACGCATAATATTTTAATGCCAGCGACATATTGCAAGGCAGCTCTCGAAGCTCTCGAAGCACTTGAAGCGCTTGCAGTCTTTGTCGTTGCCCGTTAAAATCTTAAGGCTAAACTAGATATGTCTGCAGCGGCCTAGTATGAAAATTTGTTGTTATTTTTTATCTTCTGTACGTTGAAATATTATTATTTATTTTTTATTAAGCAGCGTAGGGAAACAGGTTCCTTCTGTAAACACTGAAACCAGCCTGTAAACGAACGCATAATTTTCGAATCATTGCAAAAGTGATTCGATTTTGCGCGCATGAATTTCTTTACGCCTGTTAATTTTTACGAAATGGGCGTGTGCGTAGACGCATTTCTACCCGGTTTCGGATTACGCCACATACCGTTAACAAGTGTCACACATTTTGTGAGCGCAAATAGGCGTTAGTTGGCGCATCTCACGCAGTTTTTAACCTTGTGTTAATTATCTTTTTATTCACTTTTATTCGCAGGTTCACTTTCGCGTTCACAATTTCCAGTTTTTACCATTTACGCACAGAAATCTTGTTTGGGCGTACGTCCTTGCTCAAAGGCTTGGTGTATTGATCGCGTTCAAGGTTATCGTTTGGTGGATCACATCAAATCCAGTCAAACTGTGTACTCACGTCGTGATTGCTTGGAACTGTGTCTAGGTGAAACGGAATTTACATGCAGGTAAGTACAAAAATTCCGAACAAGGAAATACTAAAAAAATTACAAAAAGGTAAAAGATGAAATATGCAGAGTAATAGAGTTGCCAACAGTAAAAATTAAAATAAAATTATGCACACATTGACTTATTACAAATAAATATTAAATCCTCTCGCCAATTGGTTGCTCTCATTTTTATATGAACAACTAACTCTCTTCTAACTCTCTTCTTCTGCAAAAACTTCCTTTCTTCCTATTGCTATCCTGGGATTTTTCCACATACACTTCTTACTCTTTTACTTTGCTGCTACTCTTCTCTTCACTTTACTGACTCTTGTACCTTTAGATCTGCTAACTTCTATCGTCATTCGGGTCTTTGTGAGCTATCCGACATGGATCGTATAACACTAACTGGTGCTAACAATGTGGAGCCATATGACGGTGCTGATTATTTGGAAAACAATTGTGCTGAAGAGCCTAGTAAACTGTGTGAATTTAAACGCATTTCTGGTAAAATTTTGAAGACAGTTGATTCTGTTTACCAGGATATTAACAGCATTGATGAATGTCGTGATTTGTGCTTAAACTCACCTTACAGGTAGGATTACTCTTTAATTAGAGCAAAAGCTTTCACAGAACTTTTTGGAGCATCACATCTAAACAAATTATGCTTATTTTCTTCCACATATATATACAGATGTCACTCTTATGACTATAATGATACTGGTGACATGGTCTGCCGTCTTTCACATCATAGTCGCGCTACATTGACCGATGTTTTGGACCCCTATTTGGATGTACCAGAAGCTGCCACTTATGAACTTTCTTCTTGCTATAATGTTTCAATTGAATGTCGCTCTGGTGAAATGATTACGAAAATACGCACATCCAAGTTATTTGACGGTAAAGTTTATGCCAAGGGTGCGCCAAAATCTTGCTCCGTAAATGTCAACAATTCGCTGGAATTTGATTTTCGCATGGGCTACAATGATCTTGAATGCAATGTTCGACAAAGTGCTTATGGCCGCTATATGAACGACATTGTCATACAACATCACGACATGATTGTTACTTCATCAGATTTGGGTCTTGCCGTTTCTTGCCAATACGATCTAACCAACAAGACTGTTTCGAATGACGTCGATTTGGGTGTCACTGGCGAAATTGAGTCCTCACTTAGCGAAGAAATCATCATTGATTCACCAAATGTGGTTATGAAGATCACCTCACGCGATGGCAGTGACATGAAACGCATTGCTGAAGTTGGTGATCCACTGGCTTTACGTTTCGAAATCATCGAACAAAATAGTCCATATGAAATCTTCGTACGTGAATTGGTCGCTATGGATGGTACGGATAACGCTGAAATTACTTTGATAGATGCAAATGGTTGTCCCACAGATCAATATATTATGGGAGCTATTAAGAAATTGTCGCACAATCCTAAAGTGCTTTTGTCCCAATTCGATGCTTTCAAATTCCCCTCATCGGAAGTGGTGCAATTCCGCGCGCTGGTCACGCCTTGCATACCACACTGTGAACCAGTTATTTGTGATAATGATGATGGTGTTAGTGGTGAGCTTAAGTCATTGGAATCGTTCGGACGTAGAAAACGTTCCATATTGAATGGCAGTGACGGTGGTAAGTTTTGCTATATTTGCTTACTGTGATGAATGATTCTAAAGTTTATTTTATTTTGACACTCTTTATAAATTTCAGCTGAATTCTTGGTTAGTTCTTTCACTGATAAACGTCAGAAGAGAGATGTTAGTCACAAAGCAGCTGATGATAATATTTTATTGGTGCAATCTATTCAAATAACCGATAAATTTGGTTTCAATCAGGAAGATGCTAATGCATTGGGTGCTGATGGACACGAGAAGGTATTCACTGGAATCAATGAGGAAACGCTTACTTGTCTGAATGGTTATGGTAAGTTTGAAGTATTTGGTAGCATATATAAAATAAATATTATAATAAATAATTGAGAAATGAATACAGGGTCATAGAAATCATAATTCTTATGGTGTGAATGATAGTGGCGAATAAATTTAATTGCTATGCAAATATTAGAAAATTTTATAATATAATTGGTTCTTGAAAGTTAAAGGAGTTAATTCCAAAATGACACAAACTAGTGAGTCAGTACATCGGACACTGAATAACGATGAAGGAACTAGAAGTTAGCCTATTTTCTAATGTATTATTGTGTGATTAGTTGAAGGAAATAACTTTTGTTTTCTAATTTATATAGATTAGTAAATGAATAACATCTTGTTATGATATTGTTTGCATAACCAAACTTGAATAATTTCAGTGTAATTAAGGTTTCCAGGTCTTAAAATACTTAGTTACAGCACAAAGATCACGTGAGACTAATTTCTAACATAATTATTAGATTTTTGATGGCTGGTATCTTTGCCGATAAAGTCAATTATATAATTGGCAAGTACTTAATTGAAGTTAGTTGCCAGTATGCTATACTTGGTTCATCATCTAACTAATAAGCATTGTGCAACTGACCTTATGTCACTAGTCTTGGCTACTACCGAAGTATCAATTATATTGCCAAATGTGGCACAAACAGAAACATTATCAACTATAAGTTTCATCAACTCGTAAACAATATCTGCTATTATTAAGTACCTGAATTTGATTTGTTCTTGCCATGTAGTGGAACTGTGTACAAATCGAATTATTCTTAGCGGCACAGTCTGGCAGCAGCGGATCACGACCAGGTCAGTAGTTCAGTACGGTTCTATGCCACAGTGCATTTAATGGCTTATATGTAAAGTGTGCACGCTTTCTTGTCGTGCAAACGTGAACAAAACAAATGTTGCTGACGTTTGCTGCTCCCTTCCTCCTGTTCTATTCTAAAATTTGAATTGTTAATGTCATGCGAATTAATTTTGTTCCAACATTTTCAACACCAGTGCCGTCACTTTCATCAACATGAGCATCAACATAAACATCAAAATCCAGAATCAACATCAAGAATCAACATCAGGCATGACACTGGCAGCACCTGTTGCATGTCAATTGTTACAGTTGCGATTTAATGTAAAACAATATTTCTAGAGCAATTTGCATGCAACAACACAGCAAACACACCTTAAAAGAAATGAGGTGGCAAGTTGGCAAATTATTTTAATTGGATTTATATAATTTGATCCTCGTACTTGCATAAAGTGCCGTTGAAAGTTATTAGATTTGTAGTAGTCAATAAAAGAAAAAATCTTGCTAGCAGAAGTGATGCAGTACACAGACTTTCTGTTAGCACACAGAGTATTGCTTACTAATTACTTGCCCCAGAAATCAGTTAGACGCCCAAAATATATTTTGAATGTCTTAGAGAAATAATAATATATTAACGAGAAGATTAAAGTATATAAACATTTACTTTCCTAAACAAAGAAAAGCATTTAATTGAAATGGAGGGAAAATTAAAACCAAAAATCAACCACAACTGTTTCGGATAGCAACCGCAGCAGTAAAGAAATCGAAACTTCGTTAGGAAGTGCAGCAGGAAACATTAAATATAGTTTCAACATACCTAAGCGAAGACATCCAAATTATTGCATTTTCCATGATCGTTCGAATTATCTATCAATCTGCTGGCTGCTGGCTGCGGGCCAAGGAAAATTAAATTTGTAACAGTTTTTTACTTGTCCAATTTCATTGCGTCCAACATGCACTGCATGTGTGCACAAAAGCACTAAAGCACTAAAGCACCAAAGTACCAAAGCACCATTGCATCGTTGCAATAGACCACATATTGTGGTCTTTCAACTTAAATGAAACCAAAACTGTGTTTTCTACTATTTGGTAAAGGCACCCAAATGGACACACACATTCTTGTTGGTCGCTCCACTGCCGAGGCCACGCACAATAAGCTTTCCTACAAGAAATAATCAGTAAAGTAAAATTTAGTGCTTCAAGTGCAGCATAACTACTTTCTCCACTTCTGTCGTCTAGTTTTTTCGCTTTTTTTCGATTTTTTCGAATGTTCCAAAATATTTTTTTCAAGTCAAAACTTTAACAAAATTGGGTGTTATGGTTTGTGGCGCATGTTACCGTGTCATCAATGACATACCACAATTATTCCAAACTGAACGAACAATGAATGCTTTTGGAGTGCGTTAAATGCAGTTTTGTTACAGGTTAATCTTAAGGCCGGCGCATTTCCGTCGGTCTTCGTGACAGTTACATATGTAAAGTGTTGACTTATGAAGCTTGTTTTTGTTTTCAATGTTCTGAAATCGCTTTCATGATTTAAAATCAATATATGATGATATATGATGGTAGTAAGATATGTTTTGTTCTATAAAATATATAAGAGTTTTTACAAATAAATTGTTAGTAGAATTCCTTGGAATAAAAAAATTGCAATAATAATGGTATGTCTTCTCTATTTCTTATTTTTATTAGAAAAATATTGTATTAAGTCATGCAAAGGCAGAAAATGTGTAAAGGATTTTAGTACTATTTGTAGCGAATGTAATTGAATACCGTTTTCAGTTGCATATAGGCTACTTCTTGTAAAAAATATAATTTTAATACTTTTGAAAAGTATGGTTTTCATGAATTCTGGAAATTCAATAAAAATCGCAATTTTCTTATATATAAATTTCAATCAACTTGAAAATGTGATGAGCGCATACTAGAATAGATTTGAATAAATAGTAAAAACGCTGCTAACTGTTTTATCAATACATAAAAATCATTATAATGATCAGTTTAGGTTGGGTTAGTCTCAGTGGCCTAAAACTATATCAAGTCCTATTGGTCTGTAGCGATAACAATTGGAGTCAGGCGTTCCTGTAAACGACATATGGGACTCCAACTTGTGGTTGTTTGATCCCTTAGACATGGCATATCATTATTTTTCAAAAAAATAATTTTAAGTAACCTCCTAGACCAAACTTCGATAGGATTTGAATCTAGACTTTGCGTGTTGTAGTCTCAGCACATACGCTCACTGTTGTCAGGACGGTCTATTATGTTTACATATTGATGGTATTTATTTCCTTTTGTTAGTGCAATTAACCAGCAAAGATTTCTAACATTTCATTAACTTTATATGTCTAAAGCAATTGTAGCGCCACAAATATGCAATTCATTCACCTTACAAATTTTACAGCAATTTCATTGTTCGCTGGTAGCAGAACATCGCCTCATTGTGTTTTCTCAGTGAACAGGTTTGTTTGTGTCTTAAGTCTTTTGTTCTCATTGTCTTCTGTTTGTTTAGTGATATACTTCAAGGGCGTCCCACTTTTACATGCCCAAATAATATTTTTTTGTTGAATTGCAATTAAATTAAACACTATAAATACGTTAGAGATAAGATCAATTTTAACTTTATAACCTCATTTTTCCATGATTATGAGAAATATTCCAGTGCTGTGGATTTTTTAGAGCAGCAAATGGGTTAGGAAAAAAATGTAGATCGTAATAAACAAATGTTGTCATCTCTTGTACACTTTTCTTTGTAGGACTTGTCATCGCGGGTGCACTCTTTTTGCTGGCACAACTGACTGTCATCGCTATTTGGAAGACAGTGCAAAAACGCAACAAGAAGGAACGTTATCTGTATCAGCATGAACCAGCTCCATCAGTTAGTTATGGCGCACCAACTGCAATGGTCTATGGACAGGCGCATGTGGGTACTGCCAGTGATACACTTGGAAAACTGTACGAAAGCGGCATGACAGGACGTTATGGACAACAGTTTTAAAGAGATACACGGTGGTAGCAGAAAAAAAGCATTTGGTTGATATGATTTTATATGGTAAAATTTAATTTTTTTTAAATGAAAACGTAACTGTTAAGCTCAAAGCTTAGGTGTTAGCAAAACTAAAATTAGAATTTCAATATCGAAAGCAAACACACACTTTTAATCGAAGGAAAAAATGAAACTAAATTGAAGACAATAGAGCAATTAAGCAGGCTTAGTTAATAAATACATTTTTTATACAAAATTTGTATTAAAATATAACAAAACAAAACTATTTTCATATAACAAAACCTTTAATAAGAGACTTCAACTAACTACTTTTTATATGCAAACGAAATTTAATTAAGTTTAGATAAGTAAAATTTAGTTTAATTAAAATGCTTCAATTTTTTGATGAAATTTTAGCAGAACTTTTGAAAATAATTTTCGAAAAAATTTAGAAATTATCTTTCTATAATGCTGCTTTTTAAAAGTGATTTTCACCAAAATTTAATATAATTCATATAAACTAAAAATTGTTATAATTTTAGAAGTGAATAAATTACTTATTAAAATGCAGCATTAAACTATACACAAAAAAGAAGCTAATCAAAATTAAAGACAAATTCAAAAATTTATAATTAATAAATTTATAATAAAAATAAAAATAAAAATAAAAATTTATATAAGCAATATAGTAAAAATCAATTTAAAATTAATTATGAAAGAAATTGCTTTTGAAAAAAAATATATATCCGATAAATTGAAAATAGGATATAAATATCTTTTAAGCCACTCTGTGCAAATCTAAGTCCTTTAGTTTTTCTTATTTATTAACAATTTTATTTAATTTTAATATTTAATCTAAAATGCATTTATTTCATTTTATTGCTAAAAAATAAGCAAACAAATTTCTTAAATAATTTTGTATCAAAATATTTTAGAAATTTTTTATAAATTTTTGGTATTAACTACACTTTATTTTTATTTATGTTTTATTTAAAATATCTTATTTATTTAATAATATAAACTTTAATTTGTGCTATTTAAACTGCAAGTCTCCTACTTACTCTATTATATCTTAGTTCTAATGCAATTTATTAAAGAATACTCTAATGCAATAACGGACGAATGTAGGGTGCTTCTAAGTTAGTTAAGTAATTTAATATTCAAATGTATGCGAAACTATATTAGCTTTAGTTAATAATAATACATGATAAAATAATAATAATTAAAATAATTAAATCTTTTTATACCGAAATGTACTGATTAAGTAAATAAAGTAAATAAAATTAACGTAAAATAAATTATATGTGATTTTTATTTATCAATTGATTTGGTAGAGTAATTTATCTATTAAAAAAGATAAATGTGAAAGAGTTGAAAGATGTGGATTCCATTTATTATATAATATATAATATAAACAAATATTTAATAATACATATTTGGAAGTTTCTTTATAGAAGTTCCCGATGTTTTATTTATTATAAAAATAATTTAAGTAAAATCAATTTTGAAGACACTATATACTTGAATTTGTGGCTATTTCATTCTGGATATTGATAAGAAGTATGTTAAATAAATATGAAAGTTTTATTTCAAAGGAAGTTAGTCACATTGTAATAACTGAACTTAAATATCAAAATACTATGCTAGTATGCAGAAGAAATAACAGAAACAACACATTGATGAACACTTACCCATTTACCCAAATTTTACGCTATTGAAGAAATATTTGTCACGAAATATTGTGCTGACACAATGAGTTACACTCATTAAAAGATAAGAAAGCAACGAATAGATTATTAGTAAATTTATTTTTATAAACTAGAAAGCTCTAATTAAAATAAGTGCATTGTTAGAGCGAATAGTTAGTGAAAGTGGAGCGGTATGGAAAAAATTGGTAGTAAACTTAAAATAATTATAAAGCCTAAGTTATAATATGCGCTATAAGTATCGATTAAATATCGATAAATATCGACCACAAAGCCCATATGGTTTTGTATTGAAGAGTACATTATATACATATTTTATATAAGTTTGACAACTTCACCTAAAGTACAATTACATCACATTTGTACGGAACTAACAAACTCACTAATAAGGTATGCAGATCTAAGGTCAATTATTGCTTAGTCTGATGAAGTTATACACATTAATCCAGTCAAGGTGTAAAGAGGAGTTTTAAAGATACCTTGAGTTAATAAAAAGTAAGAGCTCAGTACCTTCTTTAAGATATTAGTATATGTAGAGGCACAAAAAAAGTAGAGGAAAAATTGGATCTATAGGACGGGTTGGAGCTAGACTTGGCCTACCATGTAGTATCTCCCATAATACGTGTCTACCAGCTTTCGAAGAAAGGACACCAGAACACCTGATGTGTCTATATCCAGGTTTGGCTAGAATTAGGCTTAATTTTCTGGGGGCCACCTTATTCAACACATTCAGTGATATCTCTAGCATTAGCCTTAGCCAGATTCATGCCTTTCTAAATGTCTCTGGCTGGTTCTAGCTTGACCTTCTTTGTACTACCCAGTATTACGAGGTTTTATGGATACAAAACGGCTTTTTTCAGCTAATGGAGGAGGACTCGTTCTCCGCGATTTTCTACAGTAAAAGACTAAAACTTGAGAGACAAATAATATTAACTAATTATAAATACTAAATCTCTTGTATATTATTTCTTTTTTGGTGTACATCACAAATAAGTATATCTTAATTAAAATAACTTATACTTCATTCTTACCTATACTTAACATAAGTCAGAGCTTAATATATTTTCATTACCATAAAAATCATTCATTATTTGCATCATTTAAATTCATTATTATAATTTTGCTAGAAAATATCAATTTAACATAACCTGCTGCTATGTTTATATCAAATGTATCTACTGAATGGTGGGTATTCGATTCATGGATAATAATTAATCCAATTAGTTTTTAAAGTATTGAAAGTTCTTTGTTTCCGGTTTCCCTTTCTTTGAATGTAAACACTCCAACAGAATGTTAAAAAACTTTGATCATCAATGATAAGTTATTGGGGGACATAGATCTGGAAGCAGAACAAGTTCGGTTAGGTTAGGATGAGATGGCACTTGTAATCAATACTTGACATATTGCCCATGGTTGCACAATCTATTGATTTCACTATGTGTTTATCTTGTTAATGTATTTGATCTTTAGAGAAGATGCAACAAGACCACTTTCATACTCTCTGTCACGAGAGTGTATAACAATCTTCAGCATATTGAAGGACATAGAAATTGATTGATAGATTTAATATCTTTTTTACTCTAATAATTACATGCACTGCATTTTGGTGAAGCTCAATGGTAAATGCAATTTGTTTTATTTCTATATAATTAGCGCCAGTAGATTATAGGTACCTTACATTGTTCGTAAAAGTAATGTAAGTTCTTCAATGCTCCAAATAAATTCAAGTCTTTGCTATTTCTTTTAATGCTCCTATATCTGTGCATCTAGCAAAGAGATACTTTGTGAAGTGTGATGTTCTTCCGCGAGGCTCGATATATCTTACATTCGTTAATATCACCGCTTTGACATGATTGTTTTCTTTGCTGACTGACTATCGCCAATGATAATGCTGTTGGAAGGGTGAGTTGTACTTATTTGTGTTAGTCTGGTTGCTTTGTCAATTGAGTATGTGACAGTTTAATAGATGCTGCCAGAGTCAATATGTCTGATACCCGACGCTATCTGCGTTTGGGCAAAAATGCGTAGTTGCATTACAAACTGTCATCTTATAAAATAATAGCGTAATAATAATATATAATAATAGGGTTTGGGTAATCATTTTGTTTTACGATAGTCTAGTCAATTATCATTTAAGAGCATCGATAGTGTATTTAGTGCTAGTGCTAGTCCGAATTGTTAATAAAATGTTAAACAAAGTATGTGGGATCGAAAATTCTGTCTCAGAAGGATTTCAAATAAATTTATCATATATAAAAATTTATTACTTCCTTTTGGAGACCAGAAATCGCTTTGGGTGAGCATTGCAAGTTACATGTAGTATAAATTTTAATAGATTCCCACTGGTAGCATATTAACATCATGAGCAATTAAACCCAGCAGGATATCGACAATGCGCAGTGCTGTCATTTCTTAACATAAAAGCCTTTCAATAGCCTTGCAAAGGCCAATTAAAATTATGAATTATTATGAGTGCTTGTACGCTCCAGACGTCTTAGCTGAATATTTATAAGTGCAAATTCGAGGCGAAACTATTAAGGAACGTTTAAATTGCAGTTAACATAAATTAAAATAGCTTAAAATATTCCTTTTCTGATCACAAAATTGCAGCAGCGATGAAATATGAACCTTTTTGCATAATTTTTTAAAAAATTGTCTGTTATGGATACGCGTACTTTGCATAACCGGACCAACTCCAGGCGACGACTTGTGATACCGGTGCGATTCACGCATGGAAGAAGACACAGCGGCGCTCAAAGAACGCATACACAATGACAACACAGAGTAAAAAAAAAGTGGAAACAAAAATGCTTGGAATGATTGAGCGGCTCATGTTACGCATGCGCAATAAAATGCTCGATTTACACACAACGGTGGGCTGCTACACACGCACGCATATCTTTTTGCACAGAAAACTTGCCTAAAGCGTGCTTAAAAGGCGTTAATGTCTTCATTAGCGTTTTTTTCGAGTTCGCTTTTTTTTTTTTTAAGACGAATTTCGCACTTATGCCGGCGCTCCGTGTGCGGTTCAGTTATGTATCTTTTTGTTGTTGATTTATCTTTTGAGCGGCGTGAGCGCCTTATGACTTTGATTAATTGACGTAAATATTGCAGTTGTTGTTGCTGTTGTGTTGTCATAAACAATCTTATATTAATTTCATATTTCATTCTCGGTTTTTTGCTAAACGAATTGACATGCGTAACTGAAGCGTTAAAGTATCTGCAGTCAGCAGTGAGCAGTCGGTAATTGGTTCGGTTGTTGTCTATCTTGTTCGCAAAATTAATTAAATTAACACCTAATTTATAAATCATTCCCGTTAACAATCCGTAAAATGAATTCAGCAAACTTCAGACACGCACGGTGGGCTTCGTTGAAGTGAACAATCTCTGATTTTGAAGAGTGAATAATATTCGTGTGATATTCGTTGATCGTTGGAGGAAGATAATTGCCAAGACAACATTTTGGAAGAAGTTTATTAGTTGTATTCACTAAAAATGGAGAATTCATTAAATCCATACTGTCAAATTAAGATTTTTAATAGGTCTTTCGTCTTTACCGATGAACAGGCTGATAAGCT